CAGGCAGAGTTCAGGCATTGAAACCAGAAATTTTTTACTCCTGGTCTGAATGCCTTGGTGGGACTCTGATTTTGTTCACCACTGCTAATCAGGGATAAATCTGCTTACACGAGATGATCAGCTCCCTGCTGCTGTAAATGGGATAATGCAGCTACACTGACCTTCAGCAGCAGACACGAGACAAGTGTGAGAGTTACAGAATACAAACTCATGTGAGGGAGAGATCAGTTCATATTTCTGCTCATGGCACAACAAATCTGCTTGCTCCCTTAGGCTTTTCTTTAAAAGAACGTTCTAAAGTTTGTACTGCACAACCCCCACTGCTGCTTCTCCTCTTTCACTAGACACATCTAATATGCAGCCCTTGTTACTTTCCTTCTCTTTCTCACTCAGATGCTGTATCTCAGAGAAGTCCTGAAAATTGCTGGCTTTGTAAGCACAGCCTGAGTTGAAAGAAAAGCACGGAGTGCATTAGGCTTCAGCTTTTTAATTATCAGTTCATAATGAAGGGTTCTCTTTGTGGGGAAAAAAAATAATTTCCTGAAGGCTGAACCTCTGCAGGGTTTCCAAGGCATGGAGGAAAATATCGATCCTTTGACAATGAGTCTCTGCATTCACAGTGCAGAATGGAAAATTCCAGCTTTGCAAATAACCCCAAAACCCGGAGGAGCAAGTGCCTGGACTGCAGCTTGCTGAGTGGGGTACAGGGGGAGCAGTCCATCCAGACTGTGAGAAGGCATGTTCCTTTTCATGTCTATAGGAAGGCTGTCGGGAAGGAATAAAGGTTCATAATTTTCTTGGCCAGCTAAAAAGGGCATTTGGGGTTTGGTTGGAGTGAGCTGGATACAAATGGAGAATGCATTTCATTCACATGCAAAGACTAGATGTTACCTATTTGAATTCTGAGGTTTCTTGGGCTGTTGTAGGAAAAGCAATGAAATACTTAACTCTGGGAAACGTAAAATATATCTTGAACAAAATTATTGAAACAATACATTTCCTCATTCCCCCATCCCATTTTTGTGGCTGCAACGTCAATTCTGCACTCCAATTTGGGACCAAACCAACTTTGACATATCAGACTTTCTAAAAGAAAAGATATCCATGACATAAATCAATCCTAATTAGAAATTTTCATATGCATAAGAGTAATCTTTTACACTAACTCAGGCATGTCCAACCCATGACCACATAGCACACGTGTCCCAGCCCAGCCCATCCTGCCCCACTGAGTGACCTGGCCCAGCCCGGCTTTGGGCTAAAACCAGGGCACAGGGAAGGTGCTGTGCAGTGCTGACAAGTGGCAAATAACTGTGTGCACTGCGTTATACTGGCTAAACAAAGTGAGCAGCAAAAAAAAGGCAGCTGTGCTTTCTGTTTTGATAAAGGAATTTGAGAATAGTTTTCAAGATTTCGGGAAAAAAAAAATCACCAATTTTTTGATGTATTTGAGATTCCATTTTCGGTTGACGCAAACAGATTACCTGCAACCTTTCAAATGCAGTGGTTCGAGTTGCAATCAGATATTCAACTCAAAAATCTGATTACGTCTGTATACCAGACTTCTCTAAAATATATCTTAGCAGAGAGAAATACTGTTCCGTTCACAGTCTGCCTTATTCCTGTCACTGCTTTTTGGCAGTATGTGCTTCTGTGGACAACTGTTCTCCAGGATGAAGCACACAAACAGTAAAATGTCATCAAAAATCTCTGACGAACACCTGAGAGCTCACTGAGAACTGCAGCCACTGCCATTGAACCAGCCTGATGTGTCTGTCATAAAGACAGGGTCACAAATCACACTGGTTTCTGGTTTTGTTGCTCTCTTTTGTTATAATAAAAAACATTTAAAAATAAAATGTTTTGCTACTTATATACATTAGCTATATCATATATTTTATATGTGGCCCAAACAATCCCCCTTCATTCAGTGCAGGCCAAGCAAGCCAAAAGGTTGAACACACATGGACTATGTGATACTAAAAAAGTGAGATTGTGTGAGTGACTTGCAAGACAGAGACAGATCACATATCATTGAAATTAAGGAAAAAAAATACAAAATGGTTTGTTTTTCTTTTAGAGAGCTCTTTCTCCTCTCTGATCCTCATTATATCTAAGTGCTAAACCTCCGCTAACCTGGTCAAGCAAAATAAAACAGCAATTCAAAACGTAAAAGCCAACCGAAACCATTCAATCGAAGCCAAGGTTTTGTACTTGAACAATGCTAACGTGCTGAAAGCATCACCTTTGAGAAATTTTCTAATCGTTCCCAGTTTTTCAAGAAAATGAACAGATATTGCTGAGATATGCAAGCATTTGTGAACTTGAAAAACAAACTTTTAATTTCCTAAACATAAGCAGTGCAGCCTAAAAGAAAGCTGTCCCAAAGTGTAAATGCCATGAAATGCTAAACATGTGGTACAGGAACTGTGCAAGGGTGACTGCAACTGTTGAAGAGAATTAAAGATCCATTCCTAAGAGATTGACTTCATTGCCTTTCCAGGTCTAAACTAATCTTTCCTCCAGGTTGGAGTTAAATTCTTGTCTTTAGCTCACGCCCAAATTACTACCTACAGGGAAATAATGCCCTTGTGGCCTCTAAGATGCAGCAGAAGCTATCAGAGCAGGGTCTCCTAGGACTCAGAGGCATGTGCAGCCTTGCAGAGAGAGGAGGAGAGGTAAAGCAGGGGTGAACTGAGGCCTGCAACCGCTGTGCTGTGCTTCAGTGAGTGAGGAGATGGAAAATTTAGCAGCAGGAGCAGGACTTGACCTTGCCCTTCAGCAGCCACCTCTCAGACACAGCTACTGCAGCCATCCCTGCGAGGAGGTGCCAGCATCCCTCCCTGCTTACCCTGCACATAATGCGCTAATTTATCAGCACTTTTTCTGGCAGCATCCTCTGGCATATTCAGCCCCTGTTTTCATATTTCTACATTAAAAGCATTGGGTTTGTAATTACTATAAGTCTGTGATCTTTCAGATGGAGTTTCTGCTGCTCCTTAATGGTTATTTGTCAGATCAACCCCTCGTTCTTCAGCCTCCTCCTCTATGCCTGGCTATTGACCTGCCCTGTCTAAGCCAGGCCTAACCCAGCACTTAGCACTGCTGTTCATCCCTCAACAGCCTGATTACTGCTTCACAACCAGATCAATCTGTGTTTAAATAAAGCCATTCCTACACAGTATTTTTAAGATTCTCTCTTCAAGATCAATTTCTTCACAAGTCTTCCACGCCTACCGCTAAAAATGTTTTCTCCTTTCCCAATCAGCTTGTCTTCTGTTTCAGCCCAATAGTTCTTTGTCTATCTCCAGCTCCACTGCTTTCTGACTTCTAGCATGATATCTTCATTGTCATGATACTGTCTACTCTATTTTCCATTAGATACTAAAATACTCACTATTGCCACTCTAAGCACTCACTTTTGCTAAGCCTGATGAGTATTTATCCATCAGACAGAGAACATTTTTAGAATTGAAAGACAAAACACTGTATTACTAAAAAATCTATTTTTAGTTTCTGGGCATGATCCTAGGTTCACTGCTAACAACAGAAATGTTCCTACTTTGCATTAGATCAGATACAGGTACACAGTTGTATCTTGTTTATTCAAAACACGATTATTTTAGAAACAGGGTATTCTCTTGTGCTTTGTTCATGCCTGCTGCTGCAAAAGCAAGTAAGTGAGCAAAAAGCACGTTCTGGCCCTAGATCGTATGTTAAAAGCATTCATGCTGAGAACAATTCCTGTGATGACAAAGGCTATCTTCTAATAACATTTTTAATTCATACAAACTTAGTGAAACATCCTACTGAGTTATTCCTCTTGGGTGAGGGTTTTGCCGTTAGGGCAGAAGGTTTAATTAGCTCCTATCGAGTTATTAAGCCAGTTCATAACAAGTGAAACAGGTTATCTTGTACTTCACCTCTCCAGTCAGCTATTTCCCAAATCCTTTGCCCAAAGTCTCTACCCATATATTCTCCACCAGAGGTGCTTAGCTATTTAATACAAGGAACAGGTTTTCACCCTGTGTGTTCTCTTTTACTTTCCAAGTTGTAACAGCTAATATATAAAAGTAATTGCCCTACTCTTTCTAATTTTGGAGCTATTCTTTCTGAATGTGTCATTTTACCAAAATTTCCAGTTGCTTTTGTTCTTTTCATTTAACTGCAGTTGAAAACCAAACCACATTGCTCTACTGAAGAAGTCTGGGTTACTGAAAGAAAGCTGCTGACTGCAGTAAAGGAGCAAGACCTAAAGCTGAGACACTGCAACTCATCAGGCAAAGAGCCACAGCTTTTCACCCTCACTGCCTTAAACACAGCGTGAAACCTTCACACCACAAAAGCAGCCTGAGGGTGCTGGGAGCCCTTCTAGACACCTGGGGACTCGAGTGCTGGTGGCCACGAGGGGCCGGGAAGAGTCTGGAAGAATTAAGAAAGACTAAAAGCTGCAAGTCTAAAAGTAAGCCTGAGGTATGTATGAGGAACAGTCAGTTGACACTGTGTGTGCTGATAATACACAATCTGCCCTGCGCATGCTTTGGAGCACCAGACCAAATCACCTGTTATAAAGGAATTAAGCTGTTCCTGGAGGTTTCAAAAGCTAATGCATGCTTGAGCCATGGTGAACAATAGCAGCCTTGCAACAGCCCACAGCTCCACGGCCTTCCAAGTGACAGGTGTGCTCTGCATCTTAATAGCAGGATTTAAAGCCAATTCCCAGGTTACTCATTTCTGTCCCAAATCCAATACTGCAAACTGCAGCTTATTTAATGTGCCCAAGCACTGTCATTCCTTTATAAAAAGCCTTGTCAACCTTTTCATTCCTTGCACAGGCAGCCCCATTTTTAGTCTGCTTATTTCAATATGAAATGTATCATCACTAAGATCAGCAGTTCAGCCGTACTGTTAGCCTCTTCACTGCTCACAATTTTGTAACAAAGAAGGGCAATAACAATAAGAAAATTCACATTTTACAGAAAAGGTCAGCATGTACTTACATAATTAGAGGCAAGATCAGGATGCAGATAATCAATTCCTGCAATAAAATAATGAGAGAAAACAAACTGAAGGTTAAGAGTTCCAAAAATATTTTCTCATCATCACAGAAAACAAGAAACTAAACTCCCTTGCAGCTGTAGGAAAACAATCATGGTGAATAATGCCATTGATAGAAATGAAATTTCAGTTTTTATGTATTGATTTATAAAATGGGACATCACTTCTGATGCAGCCCAGCTAGGAGATTTGTGCCAAAATTCAGGTGCAAATTGAGAAAGCGAGCTTGGTGATGACATTTACTGGCCTGCTTTGTCAATTGCGTCATATTTGTTTAGTAAGACTAGCTTAAATCACAGTGTATCTATATACAAAGAGCTGCCACATACAGCAAAGTGTACCAAATCTGTGAACATCAGTGAACACTAGATCAGTAGAGCACACAAAAACGGATTTTTTAACCACTGATAATAGTAACCTAAGTAGAGAGAAAATGCGGACTAGACTGTTCTAGCAAATATCTGAGCACAGGTTGCAGTCTGAGATCTGGGCTTCATGAGATACAATATTGAGACACTTAGATTCTGAGCATTCCCATACATGGCTTCAAAAAGCTGACACAAAACAGAAATCCCAAACAAGCTAAATGTTTACTGGAGCTCATCTGGTTTGTGCTTAACACTACAAGCACTGAAAATGCCAGAAGGAACTTTCAGATCTCTGGAATTCTAAGCAAACCAGATACTTGGGTTGCAGCTGAGAAGAAAAAAAGAATACCATATCCAAAGGATCAAGGAGATGCACAGAAAATAGTAACCCTGATATTTCACAAAGCATGAGTTTAAAATGGAGGCTCCACACCTCAGCAGTTTGCTGAACCCTGGAACGAGGCAGTGGTGTGGAATATGCACATGCAGTAATTATTTTCAAAGCTAATAAATACACAAATCCCCATGGATGGAACAACAGAAGCGGCAGATCTACACTCATATGAAATAAATCAACCTATTAGATATCCAGTTAAAATGTACAAAGAAATGGCCACCGATTTCATGTTTTGCTTTGAACATTACCCTGCCCTATGCTTCCAACTAATGCCCATGCATTTTACTATGTGCTTAATTATATCTGCAAGTATAATGGCATATTATTGTGATCATCCTGATGAAAATATTACTTTCCATTATGTAGGGTCCTTAGCACTAGATTTGCAAGAAGGGATCCTTGCATCTGTGGAGGCCCTTGTTAATTCAGAAGGGATTTGGGCAACAGAGGACTCAGTGAAGAATCATTTCATGCAGGAGCTCCATTCCATACTTACTGGAACTGAATACAGATCAAATTACTCCCTTCTCTAAAAGCTACATCTGATGGACTAACACTTCTCAACAGCTTTCTTTGACTTTAAGCTTCATCAGTTTGTCGTCAACTCCATGTCCTAATCACATCCAGTCATTCTGAAAGCAAATTCCTGCCTCTGTGCGAATAGTAAAAATGTGATTTCTCATGACATCAACATCAATGTGTCCAAATCTACTGTCTAATTTCCGTGAAATCTTTGTCTTAGGGATGAGCAAACTAAAAACAGAAATGAATGAGGACCCATGTCAGCTAATCCCAGAAAACATACATGGATCCAGCCTCTTTATTTATTTTTAATGTTATTCAGCCATCCTAAAAGCAAAATATTCAATATCTAGTCTTAACAGCTGCTGCGACTTCAGCTACACCTGTTATGTTCATCTTCCTTGAACTTAGCCTCAAATTAGTAATATATTTAATATGCAGGTCTTTATTGACATTCAGCATGAAAGTGTTTAATTACTGCAGCTGTAGAAGTATGACTTTGAGAATAATGCAACCCAGAAAATGTTTCTGTAAGTACTTTTTGCAAGGCAATTAAGTCCCCCAGTCAGTACCTACAGAAGTCAAGGGCAGTCTTTCCTTTGGTTTTATGGTCATTATAATGTGCCCTCAAAAACTGCTGTTTGATAATTGCATACCACTATGACTGCTTTGGATATCTGTGCTTCTCTGTCCCTACTGGAGACTTCATAATGTATTTTCCCTGAAGACTGGTAGTCTCAGCACTATAAGCAATTCATTATTACTTTTTAATCTTTTTTGACTTTGATTGCATGGAAAAAGCTACTTAAAAATATTAAAGTAGCAGGCAGTCCTCACTTACCATCATCCATAATTCCTATGGTAACTCCTTTCCCTGTGTATCCCAGCTCCCACGCCTCAGCTACATTAAGATCAAGTCCAGGCGTCCCATCTGCTTGACCAGTGTTAATCTAATAGATCAGTGAAGAAGAACAGTTCTTTTTACCTCACAGACACACTTCCACAGACACCGATTCTGTCTTTATGTCTTTGCATGCATATTTGGTATAGAAAATAAATCCCATCTGCTTTGGAGTATTAGTCTCTCTGTAAGCTTATCTACTGCCTTAAGTTTTAAAAAAGAGTTACAGTGGTAAATTCACTTCTTTGTGGTTTATAAGACTTGGTTGAACTCTGAATCTTTTCAAGGCAAAGGAATATTTTTCTCCTCAAGTGTATCAGTGTAGTGGTTAAGCTAGCAAAAGTTGCACCAGTAGATACTACAGAGGACTCTTTATGAGCAGGTAATAGTAACAGTTTTTACTGAAAGCAGGGAGCTACTGAAATTCAGTCCCACTGGTTTTAATATCAGAAGATTTTTTGGATTAAAAAGTTGGGTCTGCTTTGAGCAGGAAGGATCACTAATTGGACTTTATGGGTCTCTGTGTGGGTATGACTCCTAAGGGCAATCCCCTGCCTTCAGACAGAAGTTGTGCTTACCAATCTCATTCACAATTTTCTCAAGTTCTACGTTGCACAGAATATTTTGCTATTCCAGACACAGAACTATTCAACTTTATGTCAGATACCATTTCTCATTTCAAATTGCACTTCTGTGCACTTCATAATCTAAAATCTAAAAGTATAGCTTGATTTTTAAAAATGGTTATTGTCATCACTGTGATATTTTGATTGATTGAAGTACAACAACGAAGTGAATAGATCCACATTTTAGTTCACCATTTCACCAAGGGTAAAGTCTCAGACATGCTTACACACCCTCATTCATCTGGCAACTCTTGTCTTGGGAAAAAAAAACAACAGACATATCTGATAGATTCACGAAACATAGGAAATGCATTAGAAGGAAAGAGATTGAGAAATACTATTCTTTAACAGAAAGAGTCAGCTTAAGTGAACAAGATGATACCATATTTACAAAATTCTACATTTGTCACAGTGTTAAAATTGAGGAAAAATACTTCATCAAAGTTTTAATAGAAGGACATCTTTCTTAGTTACTTTTATGCAGAAAAATTTCTTTCAAGACTAAAAACTTCTCCTGTAAAATATGACACATTAAAAATGAAACAATTCAGTAAAATATTAATTTATTTTGACATCGGCTTAAAGCCAAAATTCTGCTTTTGACTGAAGAAAATCAATTAAGCACTATTCAGATTTGCAAAAGAAAAGAAAAACCTCATTTTTTTTTTTCTAGCAAGTATACTAGAACTTTTTGTTATAATTCTGTAACTGTTTTACCTAGCAACAGCTCAATCAAAGACATGATCCACATGCAGTTTTAGGGGTCACATCAGCACACCAGGAATGCCCACAGGACACCAGTACAGTTCTCTTTCAAGCCTTCTGAGGATCTTTCCATCGACTGAAATGAAATCTAGCTCCTGAAATTTGCTGGGTCTTTCCAGCATAAAAAGAGGTTCAGTTTAAAAAAAAAACAACACAACAGAGCCTTGGATTCATTCCCAAATTCTTATAAGATAATTGGAGAGAACTCTTGCAAGACATTGTACCAGCACAAAGTAATTTGAATGCCAATTACTTAGTCAAGCTTACTGTGATTTTCTTTCAGAACTTACCAAGTACCACTGCTTCGTAAATAAAGGATCATTCATGTTGATGTCAATGTCATTGATGTCCCTATATCCTCGCTTTCTTCTGCTGAAGCCTTCCTGCTGCACAGCCTTCTTGACCTGGAAGGATTAATTTTTACATCTTTAGCTGAATGTTCTTCACCATAAAGATGTTTTTGGCTTTGTTTCCTTTCTCTCCAGGAGAGATAAGGGTTCTGAAATCACATTAATTGTGTCTGCATCACTCACTAGCAACCTGGGGCAGATTTCTGTCAAAATTTGCAGAAGGAGCTCAAGGAATAATGTAATTCTGGGGAAGACGGCTGTGGAGAGAAGAGACTCTCAAAAATGCCCTAGCTGGAGAAATGCATTTTAGATAATAGAGGATTTGTGCAAGAAAGAGACCCTACTCTTATATCATTGACACAGACCTTCTTGCCATACTTTTCTTCCTCTGAGCCATCAGAATCAAAACATCATTATTAAATGAAAAAATTATGTAACTAATTCCAAGTATGAATATTCCAAGCTGCATTTGATAAAATGAGGCCTCAGTCACATTTTTTTTCAGACTTTTCTCTAGGGCATTTTCAGAGTATTAGATAGCTGGGAGATTAGATTTGCTGGGAGAAAAGTATGGGGCTATGTGTTCTCATTGTACTCCTGAAGTTCCTGGAAACACATCTTACAGAGAGATGCACTTTCAGGGATTATCTTTGTTATTAATAAGTGATAAATAAATGCATTGGCAAGAAAAGCTAGAAGGCAAAATGGCCACTAAATGGACCAAGCTGGCAGTGTAAGAGGTGAGAATACTGGCTGTGCAAAACAAGCTGCCACAGTTTGAGATCCTTTTCTTTATAAACAAACAAAAAAAAAAAAAAAACACTAAAATATGTTCCTATGCACTATAAAAAACAAGAAAAGTTAGACACACAAGAATCTTTGGAGGCAGAAACTACAAATGTCAGATCATAATCACCTTATTTGCAAAAATATAAAAGGACACCACTGAATGGTTCTAATCATCATTATAATATGTGATAACATTCAGCCTAACAGACAGAACCAAGATTGCATAATAGTCCAAATATTTCATTTATATATATATATATATATTCATCCCTCTTAATCAAAGAGGAAAGATTAAAACTATACATTGAGTAAACTTTGAGATGCAGAAACAAGGCAGCAAAGAAACTAGGATTTTCTTAGGCATTTTCTTTAAAAGAAAACAACAACACCACCACAATGCCAAAACAATCCATGGTTATTAAAGAAATTTCATAACTTAAGTAGCCGTTTCTACAAGTGTAGCTTCAGCATTTCTGATTAAGAAGATGTATACCCTGATGTGTCACAGTAACTCATGTGGTGTCAGACAGAATTCAACAAAGGAGAAATTCCTCCAAAGGCCAAATTAGGCCTTAGAGGAGTTGAGTCATTCTTGGAGGTGTCCTTCCATCTCCGTTAATTAAAGCAGGAGCCTCAAAGGACAGGGCTCAGCGAGATGCCTGTGACCAAGATGAAACTGGGATCCAACTGACTGGGGCTAAAAGCTATTTTCCTCACAGCTACATTGCCTCATTATAACCTTGAGAGCTTAATGCCAGTTCATAGTGAGCAGGATGAGGCATATGTGACGCACTCAGAAAGAGGATATCAGAAAGAACTGATCTGTCCTGAAGAGGCAGTATCAGTGTTTCTAAAAACTTAGTTTTATGAATTCCAATTCCTTAACTAGAGGTGCAAAGTGATAAAATATTGCACTGGTAGGTGCTTTCATTTATACACATTTCTATCACTTGTTCAAGTTCATTAAAACCAAAGCAGATGGAAAAGAACGTGAAAAACCAATGCAAAGTAAGCTGAAAAGAAGACAGTGACTAAGTAGGAACCATACCAGGTGTACTTTGTGGTGCCAGGTACCTGTATAAAGAAAGGTATAAGCACACTGTTTGATACCTCTAAGATAAGGCTCAGTGATGCCATGGAGACAACAGAGCAATCACCTGTCATTATCCCTTACTCCGTTACCACCCCTGCCTCCATGCTTGCAATTGCAAACCCCAAGCTGTCACCACATGAAATAATTATGAACAGAAGCCAACTCTCAGTTATAGGGATGCCAGAGAGAAAGATTCATGCATTTATGCGCCCACGCAGGCTTGCTGGCTCTGTAGGACCTGCTGCATTAAGGCACTGAATTAGGATTTAGTGCAAAAAGAATTCCACTAATTAAAAAGCAGTGTTTTGGAGCCCTGGCTTTTCTTTAAGACAAGCTGAAGAAAGTGAGGAGCAATTTGCAGAAACAGCACAGACTGACTTCACTCTTCAGGATCACCTCATTTCTCTGATTTGTTATATCTGTACAATAAAATATAATTGGTATCTTTTATTATGTTACATTACATGATATTGTAATTCCCCGAGAGGTGGAAATATATGTGAAAAGGATGTATAACCCTCTCTGAACTAAAACCACTCTTAACACGCTATTTTACATGGACATGAGGCATGCAAGATACTGCCATTCAAGGAGTAACTATTTCAGAATGTCTGAAGCCTCCTAAACCCTACAGAAACAAGGCTTTTCTCATTAAGTTCAGTAATGATAGCAACTTGCAGAGTCACATTCAAAACAGACCAGGCTTTCTTGCCATGAAATAAATTGAAAGGTTTGGGTAAAGCCTTGGCACCTTCCCCATCACAGAAGCTACAAAATGCCTCATTCAGTTGCCTTGTGCAAGAATTTTACCTGCACAAGAAGAACAAATTTGCCTGATGAAAATGCTACCCTAAGATCAGAAAACATCCATACATTCAAAAAAAAAGAAAAATCCCAGGTGGAGTAAATTTATCCTTGATGTAATTCCAATGATTTCAGCAGAGAACTGCCAATTAGCAGATAGCTGATGGGAGTGAAAACTTGTCCTCTTGCCAAATAAGGTACATCTACCAGAAAAATAGTATTTTTCCTCAGCTGTAAACTTGTCCTTGACCTAGTCCAGATCTGAAGAGGAACCACATCTTACTTTGCTTCTACCTGAAGGATTTCTTCTTCCAGGCTTCCCTATGATATCTGTAACATAAATGCGTTAAGTATCTTCCCGCAGGTAGTAAGTTTTAAAAATGCATACAAGAGAGAACTTGGGATCACATTTTTGCATGTGGAAAGGCAGAATATCATTGAAGAACATTCTGATCTTATAATAGACACAGTATAAAATAAAAGTATAATAAACGTATTTTTTTCCATGTTCAGACTTGGAATCCAACCAGCAAAGAAATCCATAATGCATTCTCATGCCATCTTCTAAATACTTATTTCTCTAACTGAAGCAGGAAAAGCAGTGTTTGTAAGACAGACTTTTGATAATAGCATCTCTAAAGGCTTTGAGCCTGTTAAGCATGACACTTATTAGAAATTAGTGGAGGAACAAGACTTCCTTTCAAAATGAGCCTGTTTTTCACTGTCTCAAATTTGGACTTGTCAGCAATAATAGCTTTTATTTATTTCATTCTTAATACATTTATTTCTTCTTCATTATGATAGAGGATTAAGAAGTGAGCATGTATTTTATTAGCATGTGGCTAGATCATGTTAAAGTTAGTAGGTGTGTTATTATCAGAAAAAGAAGGTCATGCATCAAAGAAGGTGCAGTCCATGGATGATGGGAAAGAGGCTCAGGTATTGATTTTTAATATACTTGTACTTATGCATGGTGCATAAAGCCATTTGGATGATAATAAAAGAGCAGGATACTGATGCAGAACAAATTAACAAAATAATCGATTGTCTGCAATACTGCTCCGGGAAGGCCAGCAACCACAGCACTCTAACTGTGCTCTATGCTCCTATGAATGCCAAGACAATCAGCTCCTCGTTTTGAAGAAACAGGGTTAATTATACTGTTGAGTTCTTGCAGTTAAATGACTCCATTATATTGAGCATAAATGACAGATTTACTAAATTATACCAGTGGGTATAAAAAGTGGAACAGTACACACAACCCCCAACCTCAAGAAATAAGAACGTGACAACAGGAGAATTTAGGCCAAATTCCAGTGGAAAAAGATAGTACTAGTAATGACATCTAGTAAGCAGGACTTGCATGGCTTTAAAAAAAAAAAACAACACAGCAGTAAGATGATCAACTCAAAGAAACTGTGGATCTTTTCTCTCTGAAGCCTGAGTTCAAAGTAGGTCTGCTGCTGAAGGCGAAGAAAGAAGTTGAAAGCCATTTCTCCACATTTCTTAAGAAGTTAAGCCGATGGTTAGTCTTAAGCCCTACAAATTATGCAGAGGAGCAGCCTCCCATGAAGGTGGCTTGGAAGAGCATATCTACATACCTGAAGGCATCAACCAGCAAAGTGTTTCTGTATACTGGAGAGCTGTCCTGACTGCTGCTATTAAACACAAATTGTGACAATAGAAGATGGAGACAGAAAAGTTCAAGTGAGTCTGTGAGATCCTCACACCTGACAGCCTTCAAAAAGGAACAAGAATGGGATATGAAACACCCACAGCACCTTGTCAGGGTCTTAGCCACAAATGTCATTCTCTCTCTGATCCCAGTCTCCAAATGTTGTCTATTATTCATCTCTGATTTCTAAGTAAACACAGATGAAAACATTTAATTTTACTATCCACTCCATCCTTGTAAAGAGAGGGAAATACTGATTCCATTCACAGAGTAAACTCTCGAACACTCTCGTTGCTCATTACGCTCACACTGTCCAGCAGCAGTTTGCTGAGAAGCAGCTCAGGAATGTGAAGAATACCCATTTCACATTCTTGTACATTTTTCCTAAAGCCCCAAAGTAATGAAGTTTAGTGACTTTCCACTGCAAAGTAGAAAGAATAACTTTGACCATCCTCACTAGAGAAAAGAGAGTACAGACCTAGCGTTCCTTGAACCGCAGCCGAAGTCAGATGAATCAAAGAAAACCAAATGACTTTTCAATGTTGGCAGGGGCTTCCCGGGGAGTGTATGTGACTAAGTACTGCTCCCAGGTTATGGTGTGTTACCCGTTCTCAATCAACCGCTCTTTCAAGGACTTGGCTTCCTGACAAATAGAGACAACTCTCAGAAGCAGAGCCTGACGCCATAGGACAC